TTAAAGAAATTGTAAATTATTTATTTATTTAATATTTTATGAGCATTGACACATGTTTTAAAGTGTTAGATCATATATTACAATTTTAATAGATTATTAAATATTTTAGTTTATCATGTTTCTTTTTTCTTATTCTACTAAACACATTTTAAATGTTTAGTTAATATTTTTTTTATTAACCTGGATATCCAACTCGTTATACGAGCCGACTAATCGCAAAATGACCACCTGCTTCGTAGGTAGTCCTGAATCATCGTATTTAAACCTTTGATGTTACAAGAAGATAGGATTTGAACCTATGACGTGTTTGGTTAATACTTAAAACACAATTTAAATGTTTAATTAATAATTAATATTTTAAAATTAAATTGTTAATCCAAAGGTTTGCATTTAATTTAAATAAAGTGTCAAAATCAAGTTTCGATAAAGACAAAATTGTAGCTTTTTAACTTTTACTTTTGACCATTTTTTTCACTTTCAAAAAGCTATTTTGAGAATTTCTGCTTTTATAATCACATTCTTCAATTGGATAGGGCCTAATTCGAGATAAATTCCAAAGGGTGTGTGGTGTTGTATGTATCTATTGCTGTTTTATGTTAAAATCAAGTTAAATTATATACCATAAATTTTAAAAGTAAGTCCTGATGTAGATGTGTGATAAGAAAATTAATAGATAAAGATACATTTAGCAGTATATAGACATGTTTTTGTCGGATTAATTTTGATGTTATGATTTTATAATTATTGGATTGAAATTTGTTAGGTACAAACCGCATGAATTGCACCAAATGCAGTGTTATTTTTTTTTACAGTTTGAGACATGCGGTACAGTTTATAGTTTAATGAACTCTTCAAACCACATATACGGTACGGTTTGGCCCTAAACCACAACCAAGAACACCCCTAGTTTTAACCCATCTAAAAATCTATCTGGTTAATCCCAAACTAGCTTTGTACATAAAGCTTTCTCCTAATAGTTTATTGAACAAGTCACTTTCCATATTATTATGCCACTTCCAATTAGCTATACATAATTGACATAATTGACCGAATAAGCTACGAGTCTCATTAAACTCATTAAGCTGCTAACAAACAAGCCTTTAGAATGATTTAATGGAAATATCATCTTTCCTAGGTTCGAATATAGGCACTATCAAAGCCGCTGTAATCATAGAGGTCCACCTACGTTGACTCCAAACCATTGTCAAAGCCGTTGTAATCATAGAGGTTCGAATATAGGCATTATCAAAGCCGCTGTAATCATATATATATATATATATATATATATATACACACTTACGTATATAATAAAAAAATAAAGTATAGTAATAAACCGAGAGTCCATTCATGTTAAAATATATATTCATTCAAAGGTTAAAATTCAACCTAAAAATAGCTGTTTTTTTATTCATTTTTGTTTGTTTCTGAATAAATGTTTTTATGTCACTCGCTAACAGATAACGCGGCCAATTACCTAAAATGAATTTCTTTTTATTTATATTTTTTCCTAAATAAAAAGTATTAGATAACTTAATAAACGATTATTTAAAAATATTTTAGGACTTCTTTTGGGTAACTGTGGTTTTCATGTCAGTTAACGTGTATCGATTAATCTCTTGAGTGACCACAAATGGCTTAATGTCATAGTGGGTGAACCTCCATGGTCATCAAGGATTTGACAGTACCTTATTTGCGGCCATTTAGATAAGATTTTCTACTATATTCCTTTAATACTTAGTCAATATGCCATAAACTAAGTGATTACATTTTAAAACTTATATTTCAGATATAATGAATTGTTTGCAATATATATATATATATATATATATATGTGTGTGTGTGTGTGTGTGTGTGTGTGTGTGCGCGCGTGTGTGTATCGTAAACAATTCATTATATCTAAAAACAATTTATCA